CTCCAGTCTTCAGTGTCACATGATCTTCAGAAATCATTCTAATATGCTGATTTGCTGCTCAAGAAACATTTCTGATTATTATCAATGTTGAAAACAGTTCTGCTGCTTCATATTTTTGTGGAAACCATGATAAATAAATAGAAAGTAGAAAGATTAATAGAAAGTTCAAAAGAACAGCATTTATTTTGAAATAAATAATAATTATATTTGTATTTACTGTCATTTTGATCAATTTTATGCATTATATGTAGTATGGCGTATATAAAGCAGTGGGTGGATTATGAAAATAATGTACGCTGATGAACTATTCACTATACATCAATTTTGATTTCATGTTGACTTTAACTCTTATTAGTGATTGATCAACACTGATTTTTTCATAAGGTTAGCGTGAATAAAACTCAGATCAGTCCTGGTGAACCCGCTTAGCTAATCACGAACCTTAAGACCTCATGAAGTAATTCAAAATCTAACCAAACATGTAGGAAAAAAACTCCAAAGCAGTCTATCAGTGCAATGCACTTCAGCCAGTGTGTGAGTGTGTGTATTTACAGGTTTGCGTGATCAAACAGTCGTGGCTCTGCTGTGCTGCACCGCGAGCGGTGAATACTCTTTGAAGCGGACGCAGAGTTTGCCGCGAGTCCATGGGTTTTGTAGCGCGAGTGGGCAGAAATCATCCTGTAGCCATTTCTCTCCACCCTCCACCAGCAGAACCAAGCCGAAGTGCTCGAGCTGCTCGCTGTCACACACACACACCTCAGACGCACAGGACGGGTATCTGCACTGATCTGCCGCACAGGTGCACTGCTGCGTGGCTTTCTGCAGGTGATGGCACACGGCGTTGATCTCCTGGACCACCAGACGAACCATCTCTTTGGCCGACGTCTCTGGAGTCACGCGTAACTACAAACACAGACATATGAAGTCAGCAGACTAAATAGTCTGTTTAGTAAACTGGAGTAAACTATGGTTAGGTTTCTTAATGCTCAAATGCAATAACTCGAAACTTTACAATTAGCAGAACTGAATTGAGAATTTAAAATTTCTATTTAATTTCTTAATTTGAATAGAGATAGCAAACAGGATGCAGAATTATATTATATTATAAAACCAATATAATATAATATATAATTATTTTAAATTAGATTTTATTTTTCTATTAATCACTTTAATTTTAGTTAAAATTTATTACATTTTTTTGTGTTTTATTTAGTTTTAATTGTTTTAGTGCATTAAGTTAAACAAAATGAAAATGAGAAATGTCACCTTGGAAAATAGCTGAAATAAAATAAGTTAAATTTGTTTATATTTTATTTTATTTCAGTTAACATTATTTTATTTAAAGTAGCAATTTTTTATGGTTTTCGTTTTAGTTAACTATATAATATAATATAATATATAATTAGAATATCAGAAACAGAATTAAAAAGGAATAAAAGTAAAAAAAAAAAATATATATAGAATATATAGAATATTTCCAAAAACATTAGATATTAATAAAAAATATTTGAAATGCCACCTATATAAATGTAATTAATTAAATATATGTATTAAGCATTTAATTAAATGGTACACATTTATATCCATATTTATATATATAATAATTAGAGATAATGGACAACGATAAAAAAACCCACTTCATTTCCAAGAATGCTAGAATTTAGTCAATATAAGCGATAGATTTAAATTAAAAGTAAAATTAAATTAAATGTATTATTTTATTAAAATATTTTACATTTAATATAATTTATTTAAAAAAACAACAACATGACATGCATTTTGTGGTTGTGAATGGCATTTTAAATGTTTGCATTAATTATTTTGACAGTACTGAACTTTAGTGAAAGTTTAGAGAAACATGTCTAAAGAGTAAATCAGTGAATAAACAGGCATAATTAATTAAAATATAGTGAAACATCTGACACTCCTATGTGGGTGTTATTCAATTTCTTTGAATTTAATTCCTCTTACAGTCATTTCTATTCAAATTCCAATAGTTTCCTGTAGAGCCAATTACATTTATATACACACTAAAGCAGTGAGCACCTTGAGTTTTATCCACCACTGTGATGATTAGTGTATCAGCTCACACACACACACACTCACTTTGACACTGGTGTCTTTGGGTAACCCGGTGCGGTATTGTGGGTAAACTCTCAGTGTGCTGTGGCACAGCTGGTGAGGGGAACCGGCAGAGTGGGTGGAGAGTCGCTGGACGCCGCTGTCCTCTGATAGGGTGCGCACAGGAATGGGGCGGGACTCGGGGGCGGGGAAGCACAGGTCGAAGGAGGAGGGGCATGCCCAGTGCTTCCGATTGGAGGAACTGGTGGGTGTGGATGGCATGGAGACGGGAGGCAGGTACTCCAGACTGCAGGTGCGGATGCACAGCGCCGTTCTCTTCTCCGTGACCCGCAACAGCTCGATCTGACGGCTTGGGAGGATGAAGTCGCTATCGAACGCACTCATGTGCTCGCGTCTACTCATCCCTCCTCCAGTCTGCAGCACGTCCGGCTGAGAGGAGCAAGGCGAGGACTGCGAGGAGGAGGAAGGGTGTGTGGACGTTAAGGATCTGAAGCTGGTAGGAGACGGTGGAAGCAGGTCCAGTTCTCTGGTGCTCTGGGCCACACTGGAGCTGTACTCGCTATCAGTGGTGAGGAACACCTCCGATGAGTTATCCTCATCCGACAGACCGTGGGAATCTTGGGAAAGCCAGAAAGAGAGACTTAAAAGAACAGTTCACTTAAAATTAACATTTTGCCATTATTTACTCACCTTAAAGTTATTTCAAATCTGTGTGCAGTTATATTTTCATAGTGACCATAGAATGTCAAGCTCAAAAAATGATGAAAGAAAGTATTATGAGGAACAGACCCTAGTTTAAGTCATTATTTATTGATCATTTTACCCCCGACTATATTTATATATGGGAATATAGTGCATTGGTTGTATGAACAACTTTTATGCAGTTTTTTGTTTTGTTGTTTTTGTCCTTTTTGGAGCTTATATCCCATATTCACTGGAAAGAACTGTAAATAAATATATGAAAAAATTCAATTTATTTTATTAAATACAAATTGAATGAATTTTATAACAGAAAAAAAAGAGATAATTTTGTGTTCCACAGAAAAATAACAGCATATAGACTTGGAATGACACGAGAGTAAAACAATAATGAGATCATTTTCATTTTTAAGAAAATTACTTTATATTTACTTTTTACAGATAATATAATTAAATAAAATTTTGCTTTAAAAACAAAAAGTCTACAATTACAGTCAAACTCTCAGTGTTTCTGTAAGATGACTTAACTGTATCACAATTTTTTTTAAATCATAATTGATCACATCAATAAACCATTTCTTGGTTTAATACAGGGCTGCATGATTAATCAAATTAAAAACAAAATTGCAATATGGCTTAGTGCGATTATCAAATCTCAAAAATCTAAAGTTTTCTTAAATACTCATAATTTTTTGTTTTACAGTAAAAAGATTACAATATAATATAGCATTATATTGTGATCATACAATATTATTATATTTTGTCATTTTTATTGAATAATAATAATTATTATTATTTAGCCATATTAATATTATTAACCACAACATTTTTGCCTAGTAATAGTTTTGGCTGAAAAAAAAGAAGCTTGGGAGTCTGACATATGCAATTCTAAATCCATAAACAGTAAAACATTCAAAACGTTATCCATGAATGTCAAATTGATCTGGTAGCTCCACTATATTGGGCGATCTGATGAGGTGACACCTGCAGCACGGTCTGGTGATTCTGTGATCTGTACAGGTCAGCGCTCTCTCTCACCGTTGTGTTTACGTGTGCTCTCTGGTGACGGGGTCGGTGAGGGCAGGTAGTCCCCCTGAGAGGAAGTGGAAGCTGTTTTTTCTGGAATACTCTCTTTGGAGAAGTCTATAATCCAGTCCAGACTCACTCCAGAGCTCTGATGCTTATACCGGGCCGACTGGAGGACCACCATCCACCGCGCATCACGCCACAGCTCCTCCAGATGCTGAAAGGGAACACATATAAACGTGATATTCTCATCTGAACTCTCATCATGTGCCTTGTTTTCGGTCAACTACAAACAGGAAACAACACAACAGCTGTATTTGAAATCGTGTATTTCTGGGTAAATTGGTGGTATTTGTGTTGCAGAACCAGTACATTTTAATTTAAACTTAAAAAATTAAATTAACCTATGAGGTTTACACACTCTATATTATATATTATATTTTTTGTTATATTATGCTTTATATATATATATATATAACAATAATGTCATGTGTTTTTTAATTATTTTCTATTCAAGAAATACTCATCACAAGATGAAAAAAAAATTAGGAAATTAAAAAATATATATTATATAAGATATAAATTAAATATCTGACACAGTTTTGCCTCGTAAGTTAATTTATCTTTTCATATATTTAGTTATTTTATCTGAACAATTCTGAACAAAAAAAAGAAATGAACACTTTTATTGAGAAAGGATGCGTTAAATTTATCAAAAGTGACAGTAAAAAACTATTTGCGGTATGTTGGACACACTTTTTAAAACAAAATTCATACTTTTATTCAGTAATGATCTATTAAATTGATCAAAAGTGACATAAAAACACTGAAGTACATTTTAACTTTAACTTGCTTACTAATAATTATGTCTACTTATCAAATCAACAAATAAATGCACATGAAACATTGATTAAATTATTGTATTATTTGAGAATTAAGAGACTGTGGCAGTGTTTATTCACAGGTTATTCAAGGTTGATTCTGTGTTTAAATTATTATCTTTTTTTCAGAAATACTCATCACAAGATAAAGGCTTGTTTTTTGTGAGAAAAAAAACACGCAAATAAAATATAACATAAGATATTTAATATTAAAGGGGTCATATGATGCAATTTCATTTTTTCCTTTCTCTTTGGAGTGTTACAAGCTCTTGGTGCATAAAGAAGATCTGTAAAGTTGTAAAGACTAAAGTCTCAAATCCAAAGAGATATTCTTGATAAAAGTTAAGAGTCAGCCACGCCTACCTAAAACGGCTCGTTCTAACACGCCCCCACATGTCTACCTCACTATGTGGGAAGATTTGCATAACGCCACCCAAATGTTCACGCAAAGAAAGAAGGCGTAACTTTTATTCTCGCTGTAGTATTGTTGAACAAATAAATGCACATGAAACATTGATTAAATTATTGTATTATTTGAGAATTAAGAGACTGTGGCAGTGTTTATTCACAGGTTATTCAAGGTTGAGTCTGTGTTTAAATTATTATCTTTTTTTTCAGAAATACTCATCACAAGATAAAGGCTTGTTTTTTGTGAGAAAAAAAACACGCAAATAAAATATAACATAAGATATTTAATATTAAAGGGGTCATATGATGCCATTTCATTTTTTCCTTTCTCTTTGGAGTGTTACAAGCTCTTGGTGCATAAAGAAGATCTGTAAAGTTGTAAAGACTAAAGTCTCAAATCCAAAGAGATATTCTTTATAAAAGTTAAGAGTCAGCCACACCTACCTAAAACGCCTCGTTCTAACATGCCCCCACATATCTACCTCACTGTGTGGGAAGATTTGCATAACGCCACCCAAATGTTCACGCAAAGAAAGAAGGCGTAACTTTTATTCTCGCTGTAGTACTGTTGCTGCCGCTGCTGCTATGTCGTGAAGGCGCTGTGCTTCGTTGTGAAAGCGAAACTACTTTGTTTGGTCTTCCAAAAGAGGACGATATCCACTTCGTCATGCCTAGAGCTGATCCGTGCTGGTCGCTGAGGAAATACATCAACTTTGTGCTGTGGATCGCCGGCACATTTTATGGAGGACTGTTTACTGATCCTGGGAGAGTAACGTTAGACTAAAATGCTGGCAGTTCTGACTCACGTAAGTACGTTTTCTTTTATCATTTGCCACTGATGATTTAAATGCGAGTTTTGGGCAGTGTAGAGTAACGTTAGCACTTATTGTTTGTCATTTCTCTGATCACAAATGCAGACAGGGTTTTATGTTTACGCGGCACAATGCGATGCAAAAAAAAAGTAATTATAATCAGTAATTATGTCCCCATTGGATGCAACAAATGCCTAGTTTGTAATGGGTTTTAATGTTTTTGTCTCGTCGCTCCGGCCGGACAGGGCATCATCACAGTATGGTGAGGGGCGTAACATTTCCGTCACACACTTGAGGTATTCGGCCAATCACAACGCATTGGATAGCTGGCCAATCACAGCACACCTCACTTTTTCAGACCGATGAGTTTTGTAAATCGACAAATCGACGCGTTTCAGAAAGGCGGGGCATAGAGGAGAAACAATAATGTACAGTATGTGGAAAATAATGTATTTTTTTAAATTATAAACACATTTCATTACACCAAATAATGTTCTTTTTAGCAGCATCATATGACCCCTTTAAGATACGATGAAAAAAATGTACCTTATACAGTGTTGCTTCCTAATTAAACTGATCTTTTTTTATATATTTAGATATTTTATCTGAACAATTAGACAAAAATACTCATTTAAAATAGGCTTTTTTGCAGTGTAACAATGTAGTTCAATGGTAGACTGTCAAACAACAATCTTAAATTCAGACAACTCAGCTCAATGATCACACGGGCTGATCTTCAGCTCTGCATCTATTAAAGATGATACTGTAAATGCCGCAGTTGAACAGTTTGTTCTGACTTTTATTGCAGGCTTACTGTCATCAGTTACACCTTTGAAAGCTGAACTGGAGTGGCGGGCTGCCAGTGTTAAATTGCACAGAGGACAGAAATACCTGCAAATACTCCTCAACCTGCTGATGTTTCTGCTTGGCAGCGAAGTGCTCGGACTCAGAGAACGCCTCGCGCAAAGTCTGCTGGGACATCAGGGACTCCAGAGCCAGCAGGGCCGACACGCGGCAGTACAGGCCGATGAAACTGGGGCAGTAGGCCTCGAAATGAACTACACAGACGGAGAGTGAGAGCACGGCGGGGGACGGGACAGAAGATACGTGTGTGTGTGAATGTGTTTATGGTGTGTCGTCTCACCTAACTCAAAGATCTGCAGCGGCAGGGTGAAGAATCCTGAGCGCGGCGAGCAGAGATGGTTCTGTCCAGGCGGTGAACACACCTCCTCACACGGTGGGAGGAGCAACAGGAAAGACACGCCTCCTCCCAACTCAACCACCTCCTTCACATACACACGGAAATCCTGTGCCTGATATATGAGGAAAAGGAGAAATGTTAGTATTTGTTCTAAAGAACCTTTTTATTTATTTTATAATTTTTTTTGCTGTATAGGGCCATATGGAATATGGTTTTGGAAATTAAACTAGTTCTTCATTCTACATTGTTCTGATTTTAATGGTTTATGTTTTCATTCATCAGACTCTAATGTACTATTTGTGGTACATTATGGCACTTTATTTAAGGGGATTAATACTTTAATGTAGCAAGGATGCATTAAATTGACAAAACACTATTTGCTGTAAATTCCGTCCGTTTTTGGTAGAAAATATTACTTTTATACACGGGATGCATTAAATCGATCAAAAGTGACAGTAAAACACTATTTGTGGTACATTATGGCCCTTTTTTAAAATAAATTAATACTTTTGTTTAGAAAGGATGTATTAAATCAGTCAAAAGTGACAATAAAACACTATTTGCAGTAAATCATGGCCCCTTTTTAAAATAAATTTATATTTTATTCAGAAAGGATGCATTAAACTGATCAATAATGACAGTAAAATGTTATTTGTTATACATCATGACACTTTCAAAATAAATTAATGCTTTTATTTAGAACGGATCTATTAAATTGATCAAAAGTGACAGTAAAACATTATTTGCGGCACATTTCAACTTTAGCTTGCTTACTAGTAATTATGACTACTTATCAAATCAATGAATAAATGCACATGAAGTACTGATTGTTGTTGATTGTGATTACTGATTATGATTTAAAAAGAATCAAATTAAGACTGATTCCCTAATGAATCATTTATGTTGATTCATGAACTGGTTCAAACATCTCCAGATTTTTCCATCACTATTTACACTGTAAAAACTTATTTTTTGAAGTTGTATATTTTTTTTATATTATAAATATTATATAATATATTAAATATTATATATATATAAATAAAGACTATTGGAGTAGGTTTTGCAAAAAACAATTTCAGCCTTTCTACTTAAAAAAATAAATAAAAATCACATTTAATTCAGCGTGTTACTTGTCATTTCTTTGTAATTATTTACAGTATTATGCATATTATGGTATATTTGTTTAAATGCTTTTAATTTAAGCGGATTAAAAAAATATATAACAGTGATAAGAAATATAATTATATTTTTAATATAATAATAAAAAATTACAAAAAAACATTACAGTAGTGAGGACAAGATGGGTTTAATTTTTAATGAAAATACTGTTACAATCCAAACATCTTAAATAATGTCTTCAAAATCGGCTTCTTTTTCTTTATTCAAAATGATAATTTCCTATTTTTCTTTTGATTTTGAGGTGAAATACAACTTCAAATTCATCTCACAAGATATACAGTGTCTGGAACATTCTGTGTGCAGTCAGAATGATATGGAATGGAAAAATAGACAAACACACACACACACACACACACACACACACACACACACACACAGACACAAGAAGAACTATCTGCAAAACCCTATTGTAAAGACTAAAGTCTCAAATCCAAAGAGATATTCTTGATAAAAGTTAAGAGTCAGCCACGCCTACCTAAAACGGCTCGTTCTAACACGCCCCCACATGTCTACCTCACTATGTGGGAAGATTTGCATAACGCCACCCAAATGTTCACGCAAAGAAAGAAGGCGTAACTTTTATTCTCGCTGTAGTACTGTTGCTGCCGCTGCTGCTATGTCGTGAAGGCGCTGTGCTTCGTTGTGAAAGCGAAACTACTTTGTTTGGTCTTCCAAAAGAGGACGATATCCGCTTCGTCATGCCTAGAGCTGATCCGTGCTGGTCGCTGAGGAAATACATCAACTTAGTGCTGTGGATCGCCGGCACATTTTATGGAGGACTGTTTACTGATCCTGGGAGAGTAACGTTAGACTAAAATGCTGGCAGTTCTGACTCATGTAAGTACGTTTTCTTTTATCATTTGCCACTGATGATTTAAATGCGAGTTTTGGGCAGTGTAGAGTAACGTTAGCACTTATTGTTTGTCATTTCTCTGATCACAAATGCAGACAGGGTTTTATGTTTACGCGGCACAATGCGATGCAAAAAAAAAGTAATTATAATCAGTAATTATGTCCCCATTGGATGCAACAAATGCCTAGTTTGTAATGGGTTTTAATGTTTTTGTCTCGTCGCTCCGGCCGGACAGGGCATCATCACAGTATGGTGAGGGGCGTAACATTTCCGTCACACACTTGAGGGATTCGGCCAATCACAACGCATTGGATAGCTGGCCAATCACAGCACACCTCACTTTTTCAGACCGATGAGTTTTGTAAATCGACAAATCGACGCGTTTCAGAAAGGCGGGGCATAGAGGAGAAACAATAATGTACAGTATGTGGAAAATAATGTGTTTTTTTAAATTATAAACACATTTCATTACACCAAATAATGTTCTTTTTAGCAGCATCATATGACCCCTTTAAGATACGATGAAAAAAATGTACCTTATACAGTGTTGCTTCCTAATTAAACTGATCTTTTTTTATATATTTAGATATTTTATCTGAACAATTAGACAAAAATACTCATTTAAAATAGGCTTTTTTGCAGTGTAACAATGTAGTTCAATGGTAGACTGTCAAACAACAATCTTAAATTCAGACAACTCAGCTCAATGATCACACGGGCTGATCTTCAGCTCTGCATCTATTAAAGATGATACTGTAAATGCCGCAGTTGAACAGTTTGTTCTGACTTTTATTGCAGGCTTACTGTCATCAGTTACACCTTTGAAAGCTGAACTGGAGTGGCGGGCTGCCAGTGTTAAATTGCACAGAGGACAGAAATACCTGCAAATACTCCTCAACCTGCTGATGTTTCTGCTTGGCAGCGAAGTGCTCGGACTCAGAGAACGCCTCGCGCAAAGTCTGCTGGGACATCAGGGACTCCAGAGCCAGCAGGGCCGACACGCGGCAGTACAGGCCGATGAAACTGGGGCAGTAGGCCTCGAAATGAACTACACAGACGGAGAGTGAGAGCACGGCGGGGGACGGGACAGAAGATACGTGTGTGTGTGAATGTGTTTATGGTGTGTCGTCTCACCTAACTCAAAGATCTGCAGCGGCAGGGTGAAGAATCCTGAGCGCGGCGAGCAGAGATGGTTCTGTCCAGGCGGTGAACACACCTCCTCACACGGTGGGAGGAGCAACAGGAAAGACACGCCTCCTCCCAACTCAACCACCTCCTTCACATACACACGGAAATCCTGTGCCTGATATATGAGGAAAAGGAGAAATGTTAGTATTTGTTCTAAAGAACCTTTTTATTTATTTTATAATTTTTTTTGCTGTATAGGGCCATATGGAATATGGTTTTGGAAATTAAACTAGTTCTTCATTCTACATTGTTCTGATTTTAATGGTTTATGTTTTCATTCATCAGACTCTAATGTACTATTTGTGGTACATTATGGCACTTTATTTAAGGGGATTAATACTTTAATGTAGCAAGGATGCATTAAATTGACAAAACACTATTTGCTGTAAATTCCGTCCGTTTTTGGTAGAAAATATTACTTTTATACACGGGATGCATTAAATCGATCAAAAGTGACAGTAAAACACTATTTGTGGTACATTATGGCCCTTTTTTAAAATAAATTAATACTTTTGTTTAGAAAGGATGTATTAAATCAGTCAAAAGTGACAATAAAACACTATTTGCAGTAAATCATGGCCCCTTTTTAAAATAAATTTATATTTTATTCAGAAAGGATGCATTAAACTGATCAATAATGACAGTAAAATGTTATTTGTTATACATCATGACACTTTCAAAATAAATTAATGCTTTTATTTAGAACGGATCTATTAAATTGATCAAAAGTGACAGTAAAACATTATTTGCGGCACATTTCAACTTTAGCTTGCTTACTAGTAATTATGACTACTTATCAAATCAATGAATAAATGCACATGAAGTACTGATTGTTGTTGATTGTGATTACTGATTACGATTTAAAAAGAATCAAATTAAGACTGATTCCCTAATGAATCATTTATGTTGATTCATGAACTGGTTCAAACATCTCCAGATTTTTCCATCACTATTTACACTGTAAAAACTTATTTTTTGAAGTTGTATATTTTTTTTATATTATAAATATTATATAATATATTAAATATTATATATATAAATAAAGACTATTGGAGTAGGTTTTGCAAAAAACAATTTCAGCCTTTCTACTTAAAAAAATAAATAAAAATCACATTTAATTCAGCGTGTTACTTGTCATTTCTTTGTAATTATTTGTGAAATTTACTACCATTTTCCTACACCAAATGTTTTCAGTGTAGAAATTTCCATGACTTTCCCATTTACACACACAATACATGCAAAACAGGCTAGCGGGCATGTTTCATCTGTGTCATGTATGTAAATGTGTGCATTTGATACTGTGTGGCCCCTAAATTCCCACATAAATGGCATTGATTTGCTTGTGCTATCAAGCTAATTGTGTGTCTATGTGTGGAAGTGTGAATGCACAAACCTGGCGGTTGGGAATGTTGATGTAGGCGAGTAAATCTTTAGCAGCGGTCCGTAAGTCCAGTAGGAGGCGATGTGGAGCGCTCTGGACATCGTCACACACCTTCGCGCTGTCCTGCAGCGAACTCAGCGACTGAAGCCACTGCCATTCTTCCCTATGAAAAAACAAACACATAAAATTACTACGCATATATATATAAAGGCATCCGCATGCATAACACAACCATAACCGCGTCATACCTGGAGACGTGGCCATTGTCTCGTATTTTGACGTGGCACAGCACGTTTGGGTGTTTGTGTGACACGAGCATCCTGATCTGGTCCACCGAGGTGTACAGCTTCAGATATCCCAGATACAGGCCCGGAGACAGACACTTCCTGCTGCGCCGGTGATACGCCAGCTTCTCCTGCACACCAAGAGCTCATTAGATAACACGAATCTCATGAAACCTGTCAAGAACACATCCAGATCGATAATCATCCCAAAAACAAGTGAAATAAACATGGCATGTTATTACTGCTTCTCTGGAGTACTTCTTTCTGATTGGTTATTCATGGTAAAATATTTCTGAATATGTGAATAACTGACCGTTCACCTGGGAAAAGTATGTTTTGTTCAAGCTGTGCTCGTATTCTGCAAGCTAATAAAATAATCTCAACTCATATCAGCCATTTCAACTTTTTCCTTTACATCTATGTACATATTGTTTTAATTAAGCAGGAAAATGTACAGCCGAATGGACGTTGTTGCAAAATAAAAACCAGGACTGATCAGGACTGCGTTGCACTTAAAAAAAATAAGATTTAATTTTTAAATCTTATTACTATAATGTGAGGGAAATAGATAGATAGATAGATAGATAGATAGATAGATAGATAGATAGATAGAGATAGTATATTATTATGCATATTATGGTATATTTGTTTAAATGCTTTTAATTTAAGCGGATTAAAAAAATATATAACAGTGATAAGAAATATAATTATATTTTTAATATAATAATAAAAAATTACAAAAAAACATTACAGTAGTGAGGACAAGATGGGTTTAATTTTTAATGAAAATACTGTTACAATCCAAACATCTTAAATAATGTCTTCAAAATCGGCTTCTTTTTCTTTATTCAAAATGATAATTTCCTATTTTTCTTTTGATTTTGAGGTGAAATACAACTTCAAATTCATCTCACAAGATATACAGTGTCTGGAACATTCTGTGTGCAGTCTGAATGATATGGAATGGAAAAATAGACAAACACACACACACACACACAGAGGTATGAAGAACTTCCTGCAATAGCCTGAAATTGACCCACGTTTATCATTTCTAAACTATTTGACTGAGAGACTGACTCTGGAGCCATGTGGTTGTTGAGCTGTGGAACCACTTTCACCACACACACACACACACACACACACACACACACACACACACACACACTCACAATTGTGTGTCTATGTGTGGAAGTGTGAATGCACAAACCTGGCGGTTGGGAATGTTGATGTAGGCGAGTAAATCTTTAGCAGCGGTCCGTAAGTCCAGTAGGAGGCGATGTGGAGCGCTCTGGACATCGTCACACACCTTCGCGCTGTCCTGCAGCGAACTCAGCGACTGAAGCCACTGCCATTCTTCCCTATGAAAAAACAAACACATAAAATTACTACGCATATATATATAAAGGCATCCGCATGCATAACACAACCATAACCGCGTCATACCTGGAGACGTGGCCATTGTCTCGTATTTTGACGTGGCACAGCACGTTTGGGTGTTTGTGTGACACGAGCATCCTGATCTGGTCCACCGAGGTGTACAGCTTCAGATATCCCAGATACAGGCCCGGAGACAGACACTTCCTGCTGCGCCGGTGATACGCCAGCTTCTCCTGCACACCAAGAGCTCATTAGATAACACGAATCTCATGAAACCTGTCAAGAACACATCCAGATCGATAATCATCCCAAAAATAAGTGAAATAAACATGACATGTTATTACTGCTTCTCTGGAGTACTTCTTTCTGATTGGTTATTCATGGTAAAATATTTCTGAATATGTGAATAACTGACCGTTCACCTGGGAAAAGTATGTTTTGTTCAAGCTGTGCTCGTATTCTGCAAGCTAATAAAATAATCTCAACTCATATCAGCCATTTCAACTTTTTCCTTTACATCTATGTACATATTGTTTTAATTAAGCAGGAAAATGTACAGCCGAATGGACGTTGTTGCAAAATAAAAACCAGGACTGATCAGGACTGCGTTGCACTTAAAAAAAATAAGATTTTATTTTTTAATCTTATTACTATAATGTGAGGGAAATAGATAGATAGATAGATAGATAGATAGATAGATAGATAGATAGATAGAGATAGTATATTATTATGCATATTATGGTATATTTGTTTAAATGCTTTTAATTTAAGCGGATTAAAAAAATATATAACAGTGATAAGAAATATAATTATATTTTTAATATAATAATAAAAAATTACAAAAAAACATTACAGTAGTGAGGACAAGATGGGTTTAATTTTTTATGAAAATACTGTTACAATCCAAACATCTTAAATAATGTCTTCAAAATCGGCTTCTTTTTCTTTATTCAAAATGATAATTTCCTATTTTTCTTTTGATTTTGAGGTGAAATACAACTTCAAATTCATCTCACAAGATATACAGTGTCTGGAACATTCTGTGTGCAGTCTGAATGATATGGAATGGAAAAATAGACAAACACACACACACACACACAGAGGTATGAAGAACTTCCTGCAATAGCCTGAAATTGACCCACGTTTATCATTTCTAAACTATTTGACTGAGAGACTGACTCTGGAGCCATGTGGTTGTTGAGCTGTGGAACCACTTTCACCACACACACACACACACACACACACACACACACACACACACACACACTCACAGGGAATGTTGATGTAGGCGAGTAAATCTTTAGCAGCGGTCCGTAAGTCCAGTAGGAGGCGATGTGGAGCGCTCTGGACATCGTCACACACCTTCGCGCTGTCCTGCAGCGAACTCAGCGACTGAAGCCACTGCCATTCTTCCCTATGAAAAAACAAACACATAAAATTACTACGCATATATATATAAAGGCATCCGCATGCATAACACAACCATAACCGCGTCATACCTGGAGACGTGGCCATTGTCTCGTATTTTGACGTGGCACAGCACGTTTGGGTGTTTGTGTGACACGAGCATCCTGATCTGGTCCACCGAGGTGTACAGCTTCAGATATCCCAGATACAGGCCCGGAGACAGACACTTCCTGCTGCGCCGGTGATACGCCAGCTTCTCCTGCACACCAAGAGCTCATTAGATAACACGAATCTCATGAAACCTGTCAAGAACACATCCAGATCGATAATCATCCCAAAAATAAGTGAAATAAACATGACATGTTATTACTGCTTCTCTGGAGTACTTCTTTCTGATTGGTTATTCATGGTAAAATATTTCTGAATATGTGAATAACTGACCGTTCACCTGGGAAAAGTATGTTTTGTTCAAGCTGTGCTCGTATTCTGCAAGCTAATAAAATAATCTCAACTCATATCAGCCATTTCAACTTTTTCCTTTACATCTATGTACATATTGTTTTAATTAAGCAGGAAAATGTACAGCCGAATGGACGTTATTGCAAAATAAAAACCAGGACTGCGTTGCACTTAAAAAAAATAAGATTTTATTTTTTAATCTTATTACTATAATGTGAGGGAAATAGATAGATAGATAGATAGATAGATAGATAGATAGATAGATAGATAGAGATAGTACAGTATTATGCATATTATGGTATATTTGTTTAAATGCTTTTAATTTAAGCGGATTAAAAAAATATATAACAGTGATAAGAAATATAATTATATTTTTAATATAATAATAAAAAATTACAAAAAAACATTACAGTAGTGAGGACAAGATGGGTTTAATTTTTTATGAAAATACTGTTACAATCCAAACATCTTAAATAATGTCTTCAAAATCGGCTTCTTTTTCTTTATTCAAAATGATAATTTCCTATTTTTCTTTTGATTTTGAGGTGAAATACAACTTCAAATTCATCTCACAAGATATACAGTGTCTGGAACATTCTGTGTTCAGTCAGAATGATATTGAATGGAAAAATAGACAAACACA